CCCCACTCTATGGACACCCACTTAACAGACACCTCATTATTACAGACCCCACTTTACAGACACCCACTTAACAGACACCTCTTTATTACAGAGCCCACTTTACGGACACCCACTTAACAGACACCTCATTATTACAGACCCCACTTTATGGACACCCACTTAACAGAAACCTCATTATTACAGACCCCACTTTACGGACACCCACTTAACAGACACCTTATTATTACAGACCCCACTTTTCGGACACCCACTTAACAGACACCTCATTATTACAGACACTTTATTACAGACCCCATTAATATGGACACCTTCTATTTTATAGCCCCATCGGTGTTTGAATTAATAGGCTTTGACTGTATGTCCAAATGATTAGCCAAAAGAACCCAAACTCTAAATATTTTGTGCATCATACCCAGGACTAAAGGAGGTATAATGTACTGTAAACTTAAAACTTTATGATCTTTCAGCTGGAAAAGATAGGTGTACCATATACATTAACAAAATACATTCCATACCTTTATATGCAAAACCCTGCCCTGTTTTCTCATACTTACGTGAAAGCTGAGACATGGCTTAACTATTAAGAATCTTGAACCCTTTTTTTCTAGATTTTATACATGGCAACAGCACAAATAATTATTATGATCTTGTACAAGATGGCCTGAATTACTTGGACACAAGAATAGATTTTTGGAGGCAGCAAGAACCACTGTATGCTCGCAAAAATAAGAAACTACCTCCAAAGAAACCAGCGCAACAACAAAAACCTGCTGACACAACAAAATACATCTTAAGATCACTGGAAGAAATTGACGAGGCACTGGCGGATGGCGAGCCTGAAAATAGTTTGAAAAAAGCGCAGTCTACCCTGAAAACAGTGCAATCATTAGGAGCAGAGAGTGTGCCAAATAAAGCTGAAGTTATTGGAAATTTATATTCATGCATTGGAAATGCCTATCTTGAAATGGATAATTATGAAGAGGCCTTAAAATATCATGAAAAGGACCTCAAGGCTGCCAAGAAGCGGTAAGTTAAATATGGTGACCTAAGCATGGAACTCTCTTGATGTTTTATTTAAGGCATCTTGAACAAAGGCAAATGTATCAGGCAGCTCCCAACTCTGTAACTCAGTCAGGTCTCCAGTTAAACCTCTCCACGATGGCCACCTTTGGGACAGACAAAAGTGGTTGCTGTAGAGTGGTTTAAACAAGAGTCAATGTATGGACTGTCTGCCAAAAAAGTGGCCGTTGTAGAGAGGTGGCCATTGTGGAGAGGTGGCTGTTAGTGTAGGTTTGACTCAGTAGTATTAAAGTTTTCTCTCAAATCATGTCATGTGAGTGGTGTCAAGGCTTCCTATAATACCACTGGCAAAAAGACAAAATTTGTAGGTGACCTTCCTTTTAACTGGAATAATGATTGTAGCATTTTTTAAAAAAGTGAATATATAGCGGTAACACAATATTTATTACTGCATTATTGGTAATCCAGTAGTTTACATTGTGGTCCAAAAATAAGGAGAGAAACAAATAATATTGAAATAAAAATTTTACCAGCAAGTAAGAATCCCAATTGACTGGAGGCAAACGACTTGGCTATTTACTAGCATGGCGCAGCGGTTGATCTTTACGTAAACTGCAAATGAATCCATCTAGCTCTTAGGGTAAAGCTTGAACTCTGAGTCACCAGTTAGCAATGCAAGTCCAGCACATTATTATGCTTGGCAACCCTGTTCCCATGGGTAGGAGAGAACCCTGGGAACGAGGTTTTACGTTCAGGTCTTCTGCCTAATTTATTTTTGCATTGACACTTTCTAATATACTTCAATATCCTTGTCACAAGAGAGGACAAAGAAGCCAAATCACGAGCGCTTGATAACCTTGGAAGATTATATGCCAAACAAGGAGAGTACACTAAAGCTATTGATGCTTGGATGGAGAAGCTTCCGTTCTGTAAATCAGTGCTTGAAAGCACCTGGCTTTACCATGAGATTGGCAGGTGTCATTTAGAGCTCAAATACTACCAGGATGCCAAGGAGTTTGGCCAGAAGTCATTGGCTGCAGCAGAGCAAGCAGATGATAAGGTCTGGCAGCTAAATGCTACAGTCCTTGTGGGACAGGCTGAAGGTAAGTTTCAGTAAGATGAAGANGGCAACCCTGTTCCCAGGGGTAGGAGAGAACCCTGGGAATGAGGTTTTACGTTCAGGTCTTCTGCCTAATTTATTTTTGCATTGACACTTTCTAATATACTTCAATATCCTTGTCACAAGGGAGGACAAAGAAGCCAAATCACGAGCACTTGATAACCTTGGAAGATTATATGCCAAACAAGGAGAGTACACTAAAGCTATTGATGCTTGGATGGAGAAGCTTCCATTCTGTAAATCAGTGCTTGAAAGCACCTGGCTTTACCATGAGATTGGCAGGTGTCATTTAGAGCTCAAGTACTACCAGGATGCCAAGGAGTTTGGCCAGAAGTCATTGGCTGCAGCAGAGCAAGCAGATGATAAGGTCTGGCAGCTAAATGCTACAGTCCTTGTGGGACAGGCTGAAGGTAAGTTTCAGTAAGATGAAGAATTACTGGTTGTGTTGTCAGGGAGAAATTCTAACAAGCGACATGTCCTTGAAACAGCAACATTAGTCTAGATGAAATGGCAACAAAAAAATATGACATAAAGATGGGTTAATTACTGACACAGACATGGCCTACTCCTTGAAACACATAAATGCTTACAGTGGTTATCTTAAAGGTTATTGTGCTTTGGAGATATCATGTAAACCCCTAAAAGTTTCTTAATGTTTTTGTGAATGACAGCAAGTATTCTAAGTGAAATGGAATTTCTTTGTGAATTTCTTTTCTGTAGTAAAACTTGGCGATCTTCAAGCTGCTTTACAGACATTCGAGAAAGCCTTAGAACTGGCCAAAATCCTGGAAGATGAAGCGGCTGAGAAAGCCATATCCAAGACCATCAATGATATCAATGATAGAATTGCTCAAGGTAAAGAGAAATCCACTCGGTAATATAGACAAACACCTTAGTACATGTACCAGTTGACAGTTATATCTTCCTTTAAACAACTCTGCCATACATTGGTTTTTATTTGGACCTCTCATTTTCATTCATATATCTGCCATTCACTGACTCAAATTGATTTGTTCTTGTGTTTCTTCATTCACTCTCATTTATTCTCTGATTCTTTTCAAGGTAACAAAACCTCTCTATGATGGCATTTTGTTAACTTAGTGAAAATAATACTTGTAACCTTTTTCTTATCCAAGAGTAGGTGAAATCGCATTTTCAAACCTTAGGACTTGGTTTGTGGAAATGAAAAGTTAGACTGAGTCCATTAGAATCACGACTGTAAAAAATTTGTCCGCCCCTGTTGACAGCAATGGCATTGTTTTTAAAAGTGCATTGGTGTTTTTTTAAACTTAATCCCTATCCCAACTAAATTAACTTGTCTAATGATGATAAATTTTCCTTAGTTGAATTATAAGGGATCACAGTCAAGTTCTTCATCATGTGTAAACGCTGCATTGAAAGGCTTCACATCTCCGTCATGTCGTAGTGGCAAAGAAATGTTCCAAAAGTGTGACGCAAATGCAGATTTGTTGCTTTTATATAAAACCTATTGCTTTTTTTGACTTTCTGATTCATACCATGGCTGTCATGCTTGCTTAAGTTCCCTGTTTGCCTCAGTTGTTTGAGCTTTTTATTGTTGTCACAGTACTGTTGTGAAAACCTACATTAAGGTGATTAGGTCCCTAAAATTATTTAAATCAAGCACAAGGGAAATAAGCCATGCTTATAGCAATTCCTTCAACTTTTTCAGGTGTTAAATCTGGAGATGACAAAGAAGAAACAGAAGGGCAAGAAGGAACCAATGAAGTTACCAAAGATGCAGAGGAAGAAACTGAACCTGCAGAACAAACAGAGGAAGGAGTCAAAGATGAACCAAGTGGGCAAAAAACTGAAGAAATAAAAGAAAGTGAACCAGCTGAGGACAATGAGAAACAGGACAGTGAGAAACAAACAGAAGAAAATGTCGAGGAAGGTAGAAAAGACTTTCAAACCAGTGATGACGATGCTGAGAAGAAGGAATAACTTTAATTTTTGTGTATCCCATTTTAGCATCAAGTTTCTGTCTTCTGTAAGCAGTCAAATCCTTTTTGTTGCTTTCCTGGAGGCTTATTAATAAGTGAACTTCTGTGAAGTAAATTCATTTTTGTTTTATTTTTACTAAGCTCCAGTTGTGCTATCAATATTAGTTTTTGATTAATGTGGAAATACCCGCTAAATTTTCATAGACTATTCTGTAGGAGCAAATAATGAGACTTGAGTACTAACACATTTAATTACCAGACTATATTTTGCCTTGTAAAAGGAATGTACATTAAAATCCAAGTAACTTGCAGTGCAATAAAATTTGATGAAAAGCTTAACTGGTTGGTTTTGTGACTGTCTTGAAAGAAATAAAAAACACATGAATGTAAATACTGTATGTTGTTGACAAGTAAGGTAGTTTGTGGGTAGTGAACTTAAAATTATTATTATTCAAAAATTAATTGCAGAGGTTGTGGCTTAAATTATGTACATCTTTATCAATAATTTAAATTCTTTTAATTGCAGTTAAATTACAGTAAATAATGATACTTGGTAAGTTTCTTTAACATTATTTTGACATGTTTTCTACAGATAGGACACCTTTGATTAGTTCTGTATAATACAGAACAAATCAAAACCCAAGATGTTAGGGAGGCAAAGATGTTAGGGAGACAAACTCCAATAACTGGACTAAAAAAAGTGTTCCAAAACAAGTTACTGCACACAGCAGAGCTGGTCAAAATACTTTTTGAATTTGATTGCTTTTTTAAGCTTCAAAACATTATAAAAAGTTGAATTCATTTCAATACATGGCATGTTTACAGGTAGATGGGCCTATAAGTGATGGGGGGGTGGGGGTGGGGGGGGCTTATAATCAGAAATTTACGGTACTACAAAGTTAATTGGATGGTACTAAGTGAACTGTAACACCAGAAAATATTATTGAAACTATTCCTTGGTATGCCATCCTTGGTATGCCTGCTTTAAAGTCTGTCATTGCACCAAGTTGTTTTGCTACAAATTGAAAGTCCTGCTCGGATGAGTAGTGAACCTGCACTTCGGGAACAAACACGTTCTTCTTGACCAACTGATCCACAGTAACTAGAGGCAACGTGTGTATACGTTTGACAAACTTTTCATCGTAATTGTCTTTTAATAAATAAGAAAGGTCTGTTTTAGTAAATGGATGCACTTGGTCATTCAGCTTAATAAATCTTAAATGTTGATCAAAAAACTGTCCACGGCTTACTCCAACTCTCCCAAACGTTTTTGTCCTTGGGATTTCTGGTCGTATGCACGCCCTGTTTTTACGCTGGGCTGGCTCTCTCATCCAATCATCCCAAAAACCTAGTGGCCATTTTGGTTTAAGCTCATCCCAAAGTGATTTTCTCAGCATCCATCCAAGTCCAGGAAAGAAGTCTGTTCTGTAAAGGGCGTCATTTCTCTGTACCATCCCTTCTTTTCCATTGTCATTCCACGCTGAGATGCACCACAGTGAAGGGTCCTTGTCCAGCAAGGGTTTTGTTGCAGTAAAGTATTCATAAAAGTCTGGCGCTATCGGAGGCAAAAAACCTTATTTCACATTTCAAGTAACACCAGTTAAATTTCTTATGTGGTGAGCCATGATTGTTCAAAAGTTGGATAGTGCTATCCTCTGGATAAATCACTATCATGTAGAAAGAGATTTATATGTTGGGTAGTGTTATCCACCTTTTAAACAACTGGGGCCAGGGGCCCATTTCTCGAAAGTCCCGGTAACTTTTCGGGCCGGAAATCAAATATTCAAATCGAAATATAAAGAATAAAAGCGCGGGTCCTGACTAGCAAACTACTCCATTTTGTTTCACTAACTGATAGTTTTATCATGCTCGATGCAAAACTTTTGAAACCTTGATCTTTAATATAAACGGAGACAGCTTGCCGGGCCTGTTAATCATTGGGACTTTCGAGAAACGGGCCCCAGGCCTATTAACTAACAAATAGGGATTTTCACTAGCTGGACCCACTAACATAGTCTGTTACACAGCTGTTTTTTGTATTGTCATGGGTAGTTATTGCTTTTCCTAATACTGATCCACTGGATAGTGATTTATCTGTTGGAAAGTGCTATCTAGCATTTGCACAACCGGGACCAGGTGACAAAATAATAACCTGCATTGCTGGTATTTTCATTGGTTCACGAGTGTTTTTGTTCGTCTAATCACCAGGATGAAACTAACACATTAAATTGTAAAATTGGAGAAGTTTGGGCAAGTCAAAGGGAAAGGGGGGAAAGGACTCCCTCCCCTTTCCCTTTCCTCTACTTTTACCTAGCAACTACCCCAAGGGTTGCTATTTCTATTCTCCCCAATCTTCCTCTGTCAAAAAATCAAAGATAGCAGCTACAGAGGCCCTGCCAGGGTAAATTCTGACAAGCTACATTGCCCAAAAAGTAGCGACAGCGAGTGAAATGAAATCGCGACAAGAGACAACCTCCTCGGCCAAATTGTGACAGTGATGGCAAAGCTGACAATAAGCCACAAGCATTTATATACACCGACACGAGACATTTTAAAATTCAGATGGGCGACATGGGACCCCCCCCCCCCCCCCCCCCCCCCCCCCCCCCCCCCCCCCGCGGCACACACAA